TCTGCCTCCCAAGTACTGGGATTAAAGGCGTGTGCCACCAACGCCTGGCTGGGATTTCTTTATGATATATACTTTTAGCATCCTTTTTGTGAAGACTTGTTGGTTTGTATGAATTCATTTTTGATCTTACTTTGATCTCATCCTTCTTAAACTTGCTCTTTTGTTCAATTAAATTTCTCTCTCTCTCTCTCTCTCTCTCTCTCTGTGTGTGTGTGTGTGTGTGTGTGTGTGTGTGTGTGTGTGTGATGTTTAGGATTGAGTTCAGTACCTAACCTGTAACCTCTACTACTGAGATATATTCCACCTCCCCCAAATAAAAATTTAAAGTATAATGTGCATATAAAAAAGCACCCAATTCTATGGATATGCCATTGAATTTTCACAAATGAATGCATCTCTGTAACCACTAATATCAACTCGTATCTATTACTTGCACCCAGAGACTTCTCTCCCATCCCCTTTCTAGTTAATTTGGACCTTCTATAATTAATGCCTAACTTCTGGCTTATTATTCAGCCCTGCCCTTTAGTTTTGAACTGTCTGGGATGAAATAATATATTAGTATTCTGAGTGCTTGGCTTGTATTGTATTTCATTTCCAAAGTCAGTGTAACCAATTATACCCATAGCAATATTTAAGAGTTCCCCTTGCGGCGAGTTATGGTGCTATCAGTGCTTCCAGTTCCAGCATTTGAAAGGTAAAGGAGGATTAAGATTGGAAACCACCACAGGATGAATAGTGAGTTCGTGGCCAGCCTGGGCTCCATAGGGAATTTCTCTCATATGCAGAGTTTAAGTGTATATAGAGTTAAATATGTAAAGACAATATAAAACACATAGAGGGGCTGGAGAGATGGCTCAGCAGTTAAGAGCTCCTACTGCTGTTGCAGAGGACCTGCAACATGGGTCATAGCATCCATGTTGGGCAGCTCACAACTGCCTGTAACTCCAGTTGGACATTCCTATACAGAGACATGCACACATACAAATAATTTTTAAAATCTGAAACATGCAGAAATATATAAATATATTTTTAAACAAATATAACTAAGGCATTATAAATATATATAAAGCCATGAAATCAGAAGGCAGAAGGACGACTATTTGGGGGGGGTTGGTGCAACAAGAAAAGGAAGTGGGAGTGAATATCAGCAGTTTACAATAATACCCATATGACAATGTCATAGTAAAATCCATTATCTTAATGATGATTAAAAATAATAAGGTAATTTGGGAATTTGGAAGAAAACATTTTAGTAGCTCACCTTATTAACCAGTTTTTAATTTTAGTCATTCTGTTGGATTGTTGGCTCTCTTGCTGTTTTTTGTTTGTTTGCTTGTTTTTGTGAGGACAGGGTTTCTCTGTGGCTTTGGAGACTGTCCTGGAACTAGCAGTTGCAGACCAGCTGGTCTCAAACTCACAGTGTTGGGATTAAAGGCGTGGGCCGCCACTGCCCGGCTTTCTTGCTGGTTTTAATTTGTGTTTTTGGTCATGACTGCTGACAGTGCACATCATTTTATTTTATTTCTTTCTATGTTTAATGGCTATTGGTTATTTTCTGTTGTGCTGTAGCAGTTCAGACATCCTTCGTATGTCCTGGTTCTTCTTTTTCTTCCTGAGTTATAAGGGTTTTTCATAGAGTCTAGATGGAAGCCTTTTATCAGCATCATAAATTTCACATACCTTTTCCATTCTATGGACTGACACTTTACTCTTTTGAGACATCCTTTAATGAACAGAAGTTTACTTTCAGTCTAGCCCAGTTTACTAATATCTTCTCTTTGTGGTTAGTACTTTTTATAATTGATTAAAAAATACTCACCCTGTTCTGTGGTCACAGAGACATCCTTTATGTTTGAGAAACTTTATTTTACTTTTATGTTTACTTTTCTATGTGTAATACAAGGTAGGAGTCGGTTTCATTTCGAGTATGTCTGATTGTTTTAATTGCTCTTTTGCTGTTTGGTCATTAAAAAGATCAAACTTATTTTTTAAACATCTATCTTTTTTTTTGGTTTGGTTTAGCAACAATTGTTTTTGTTTTTAACAAATTTTGTGGAGCCATAACCTTAACCCCATAGACAAGATTAACATTAATTTACACAATAAGATCTAATCATAAAAGAAAATCAGAAGTTGGGATTAGAGTTCAATAGTATCATTAAACATCTATCTTTGTTATGATAGTATATATAGAGGATAAGAATGCCTAAGGGACTAGAGATACTCTCAAAAACTTTTTTTTTATGAAACCGATTTTGGGTTTAATAAAATCTTTTAATATTGATTTAGGCATGAAAATTAAGAGAGATATATGCTCAGAGAGACATATAGCATATCATAAATGTGTGCTCTGAGAGACAGTCCATCTCAAACAATTTGGTATGTATTTATTGAGCACCATCCATGTATCTATGTGCCAGAGATAGCTCAGCAGAAAGTGCAAAGTCATTGTTTTCATGTAGTGGTGAGGTGAAAGATAGAGTCAAAATGAATGACCCAAACATACAACAGTATATAGGAATACATGTTTGGGTAAATATAGCAAAGTGGAGTGGAGACTGTTAGAGGGATAAAATTTAAAGTAGTGTTGTAGTTAGGAAAGCCTTCAACGAGGCAGTAACAGTTGGTAGAGACTGAAGGAGAGGTGATGAGCCATGTGCTGCTCCCCTCCTGAGTTCTGGTGGTTTGCATAACAGAGAATCAGTGTGACCAGAACAAAAGCAAAGACCAGAGTGACAGATGGGGTTGCAGAGGGACAGAGAGCTACTGAAAGGGTTTGAGCACAGGGTGATCTGAGCAAACTTACTTAGAGCATTGGCTCTCAACCTGTGGATGTTTGGCAAACTTCTATCTCCGAAAATATTTACATCACGATTCAGAACAGTAATACAATTACAGTTACAAAATAATTTTATGGTTGGAGGGGGGAGCACCACAACCTGAAAGACTGTGTTAAAGGGTTGCAGCATTGGGAAGGTTGAGAACCACTGCCTTAGAGTGGTTATCATTTTGGTTATTATATTTGTAATCTACTGTAGTGAGGGTATTGGCATGTCGAGGCAAGAAACAGAGAGAGAGAGAGAATACAGATATGGTGGCAGACTCTTGTAATCTCAGCTATTCCATAGTTTGAGGCATAAGAATTGCAAATCTGAGGCCAGGCTGAGTAATTTAGCAAGATGTTGTCTCAAAATAAAATTGAAGAAAAAGGGAGATGTAGCCCAAGAAGTTGGGCATTTGCCTGGAATGCTCAAGGCCCCGGGTTTAATCTCCAGTGCCTGGGAAAGGAAAACAAGTTCAATATAACAATTTAAACTACTGTTCAGGTTTGACCATGTATGGTAGTATGAAGTGGAAGAGGTAAGGAGAGTGGGAAGGAATTGGGTTTTTTGTATATTCTGAGGGAGACACTAGGAGTTTCTGTTGTAGTAGATGTGTGGAGTGACTACGGTAATAAAGTCTGGATGACTTAGGAAGAAGAGAGCTTTCTTTTGGTTGAGATGCAGAAGACAGGGCTGGAGAGATGGCTCAGCAGCTAACAGCACTGGCTGTTCTTCCAGAGGATCAGAGTTCAATTTCTAGTACCCACATGGCAGCTCATAACAGCCTGTGACTCCACCTCCAGGGGATCCAACACCCTTACACAGACATACATGCATACAAAACACCAATGCACATAAAATAAAAATAAATAAATCATTAAAAAAGATGCAGAAGACAGTGTCAGGAAAGAGTGAGGGAAGAGCTTAGTTTTGATATATTAAGTTAGAAATCTGTGAGATTTGCAAAGGCATGTGATGAATAAGTGGTTGGCAGGATCATTTTATGAGGACCTTTTGGTAGGGCTGCAGGATGACCCAGGATGGCATGGTGTGAGCCTGCAAACTAGCCTTTGGAGTGAAGGACTTCTCTTTGGGATACCATAGCCACTTGAACTACCTTACTTTCAGTCACAGTTTGCACAAATATTACGCTTTTTCTTGGTCTCGGAAGTCATAATTGTTTTTTTTTTTTTTTTTCCTCTTTCTCCAAAAGTTTTGGTTATGGCTGCCTTCTCAATCTGATCCAGTACTTTTTAGGATTCTTTGAATTTTCTTTGTGTTCATGCCATTCTTTTTTGTTGGTTTTGGTTCATTTATAGCTTTTAGAAATGACTTGTATTGTTTTATTTTCAAGGATTTAGTGCAGGAACTGAATTTGCTAATGTGTGCTTAGTATGCAACCTTTTTCTTTTTGAGACAGGGTCTTGCAATGTAGCCAAGGATTTAGTGTGGAAACAGTGAATTTGCTGATGTGTGCTTAGTATATAACATCTTCCTTTTGAGACAGAGTCTTACAATGTAGCCCATGCTGGCTTTGAACTTGTACTCTTGCCTTCACCTCTCCAATGCTGGGATTGTGGTTCTGTGTCTCCATGACTGGCTAGTGTAGAGTATTAATTCAAGTTTTTGTATTAATTATAAAGAATAATGAATTATAAGAAGGTGACAAATACAGAATGATAAAAAATATTTATCTTTGCTCTTTAAAGCTTTCTTTCTTTCTTTGGGGAGTCTTTTTGAGACAGAGTCTCTATATTATGCAGTTTTGGCTGTCCTAGAACTTAAGGTGTGCAAAAGTACCCTTGACTAAAGCTATTTTCAAAAAGAAATTTAGACAGTGTCTCTCTATGTATTCACAGGCTGGCCTGGAACTCACTATACAGCCCAAGATGGCCTGGAAATTAATAGTCCTTTTGCCTCTCCCATTCTAGCCAGGTGCCACTACACCCAGCTTTTTGAAGTATTGTATTGTCATTTTTAGAATTAACTCCATTCTTTTTATCTTATCTACAGTTCACTTAGCAGCCATGGAAGGCCACCTTCATTGTTTTAAATTCCTACTGAATAGAATGAAGAATGGAGCACAAGCTTTAAAAGCCTTCAATGATAATGGAGAAAATGTATTGGACCTGGCCCAGCGCTTCTTAAAACAGAACATTTTACAGTTTATACAGGAGGCTGAGTATGAAGGAAGCAATCCAGATGATCAGGACAGTAAGTAATTTATCCCACATATTTTAGCAGAGAATGATAAAGTTAAAATGGAACCCATCGGGATGATGGTAGTGTACACCTTTAATCCCAGCACTCGGGAGGCAGAGGCAGGTGGATCTCTGTAAGTTCCAGGCCAGCCTGGTCTACAGAGTGAGTTCCAGGACAGGCTCCAAAGCTACAGAGAAACTCTGTCTCAAAACACCAAAACCAAACAAAAACCTAAAGTGTAGCCCCAAGACTAAGAATTTGTAACTCAAATGTTACATCAAAATATATGTTACTATTCCTATTCATCCAGATTCTTTATTTTAGACAAATCATGTAGCTGGCCAGTTTTTATGTCAGATGGACACAAGCTAGAGTCATTAGAGAGGAGTGAGCCTAAATTGAGAAAATGCCTACATAAATCTGACTGTAGGCAAGCCTGTAAAGTATTTTCTTTTACTTAGTGATTGATGTGGGAGGGCCCAGCTCATTGACTGCTGGTCCTGGATTCTATAAGAACACAGACTGAGCAAGCCATAGAGAGCAAGTTAGTAAGCAGCACCCTCCATGGCATCAGTTCCTGCCGCCAGGTTCCTGTCCTGTTTGAGTTTCTGTTCTGACTTCCTTCAAAGATGAATAGTGATATGGAAGTGTAAGCCGAATAAACCCTTTCCTCCCCAAGTTGCTTTGGTCGTAGTGTTTTATCACAGCAATAGTAACACTCACTAAGACAGTGACATTGAACTTAAGAATAAGAGAGTTGCATACAACAGAGTTGAAGCATTTAGCTTTCTCCCTAATGCCATTCTTTTTTCTCAAGGGGGTGTCTTAGTGTTGTTATTGCAGTGATCAAGCACCATAACCAAAAGCAACTTATGGAGGAAAGGGCTTATTTGGCTTACATTTCCAAAGTCAGCACAGGAACTCAAGCAGGGTAGGAACCTGGAGTCAGGAGCTAATGCTGAGGCTATGGAGGAGTAGGCTTACAGGCTTATAGAACCCAGGACCAGCAGCCTAGGGATGGCACCACCTACAATGGGCTGAACTTTCCTCCATCAATCTCTAATTAAGAAAATGTTCTACAGGCTTGCCTACAGCCTGATCTTATGGAGGATTTTCTCAATTGAGGTTCCCTCTCTCAGATGACTTTAGCTTGTATCAACTTGACATAAATAATAGGACAAGAGCAAAATGTTATTTGGGATTTATTGGTCCATTCTAAGGTTTTATATCTTAGTTACAATTCTATCTATATATGATACATTTACAAAATATATAATACTATATTGTGTATTTGTTATAGTAACAAACTAAACTATTGTAACATATTACTTGTCTGTTCTCCACTTGGCCTTTAAGTTGCTGTAGTTTCTTGTTAAAACTGTGGCTGTGTAGTGAATATTTTTGTGCATGCCTGCTTGTGTACATGGCCAGAGCTTCTTTAGAGGATCGCCTCCTTGTCTTTGTTTCACATAGCCCACACTGAATGTGAAGACTGTATTGCATTCTGGGATCACTGGATGATGATGCTTAAGGTTTTGACCATTCTGTAAATACTCATGATTAACAGTTCTGCTTTTGGTGCTATGTACTTTATATTTATATACCTATATTTTTACCTCTTTAAAAATTGCATTTCATTTATTTTTCTAAGTAATTTAAGTTCTATATATTCTTGGTATGAATCATTTATTGATTTTTATCAGATATAATTTTCTCTCAGAAGTGGATTATTATTTCACTTTATAATGATATCCTTAAACATCAGTTTTTAATTTACTTAAGTTAAAGTGCATTCAGGTACATGATTTTATGATTTTGGATCTATGCATGCACTCATGATCCCATCCTAACAATCAAGATACAGGCATTTCCATCACACCTGGGTTTTCTCAGACTCCTTTCAGCTTACTCCTCCTTTTACTCTATCCACATGCAGTCACTGATCTGCTTTCTGGTAATACAGATTGCTTGCATTTTTTTGGAGTTTTATATATAGAGTCCTTTTGAGTATCCATACATGTTATGTGTATTTGTAGTTTATTCCTTTTTTTTTTTGTTTTTTTTGAGACAGGGTTTCTCTGTGTAGCTTTGGAGCCTATCCTGGCACTTGCTCTGGAGACCAGGCTGGCCTCGAACTCACAGAGATCTGCCTGCCTCTGCCTCCCGAGTGCTGGGATTAAAGGTGTGCGCCACCAACGCCTGGCTGTAGTTTATTCCTTTTTATTGCTATGTTGTATTCTGTGATCAACTTGAATGAAGGTGAGCATTGGATTGCTTTCAGTTTGGGAATTATCAATGGAGTAGCTATTACGTTTACATAGACCAGTGATTCTCAACCTTTCTAATGCATTCCTTTAATACAGTTCCTCATGTTGTGGTGACCCCCAACCATAAAATCATTTCATTGCTGTTTCATAGATGTCATTTTGCTACTGTAGTGAATCATAATGCAAATATTGGATATGCAGGATATCTGATATGCAACCCTTATGCAAAGGCTCTTCAACCCTCAAAGGGGTCAGGACCCACAGGTTGAGAACCACTGGTATAGATATCTGTTTCTATCCCTCTTGGGTAAGTACTTCGGAGTGAAACATATGATGGATATATATCTATCTTTAGGTATTATTTAAGGAGACACATTTCAAACTGTTTTCCAAAGGGATCAATATCCTTGTTAACACAGGTCATAGTTAGTCTGTTCTGTTGCAGTCATTTTAATGGGTGTGTATTGGTTCCTTGAGCATCTTCTCCTGGATTGGTCATTCGTATCACTTCTATAATGAAATATATTTTTAGTTTTTGACATTGTAAAGATAAGACTTTTCTAATTATTGAATGCTTAAGAGATTTTTTGCATATTCTAGACATAATCTGTCAGATTTGAATTGCAAATATTTTCTTCCATTCATAGTTTTTTTGTTTTCAAGAGCAAAATTTTAAATTTTATTAAGTTATAATTTGTAATTTTTGTTCTAGATAGTGTATCACATTTAGTGCTATTGTATTTTATAATTCTTTTTATTTGTCAGTGTGTCAGTTGAACTCACCTGAGTAGCTTCATACTTAGGATAATGTTGAAATCTGAATTGTATGACAGCTTGAGGTATGGAAAAGAACAAATTCCTGTGTTTATTAAAATGCTGACTTTTTATCTAGATTTAGCTTTTCCAGGTCATGTGGCTGCATTTAAAGGTGATTTAGAAATGCTTAAGAAATTGATTGGAGATGGAGTAATCAATTTGAATGAACGTGATGATGATGGATCGACTCCTATGCATAAAGGTGAGCTTGCTTCATTTTTTAAATTTCTTATGTTTTTAAAGTGTTATTGATCAGAAATCTACCCTAGTGGATATTAGTGAATGCTATATAAAATACACAGTGGCTGGTTTCTGATTCAAGTGCTTTATGATGACAGATAAATCTATATTTATAGATATCTATCTTTGATGGTAATGCCAGTTGAATTTCTTGGTGACATTGTTATAGTGGCACTTGAAATGCTAAGGAAACATCTTACAACAGTATTTTAAAAAGATTAATATTATTTATTTGGTTTTCCAAAACAGGGTTTCTTTGTGTAGGCCTGGCTGTCCTGGAACTAGCTCTGTAGATCACACTGGCCTCAAACTCACAGTGGTCCACCTGTTTCTGCCTCCTGAGTGCTGGGATTAAGGGTGTATTCCACCCCCACCTGGCAGATTTTTTAATTTTTCCTTCCCTTCCTCCATCCTTCCCTCCCTCCCTACTTTCCTTCCTTTTATTTTTAATTTTATTTCGGGAATAGGGTCTTGCTGTATATCCCTGTCTATGCATGTAAAGCAGACTGGCTTTCAACTCAGAGATCTACCTGACTCTGTTTCTGTCATGGGCATTACAGGCATGTGGCACCATGTCCTGCTCTTTTTTTTTCTTTAAAAATGTTTATTTTATTTTATTTTATTTTATGTATACGAGTAAACACTCGTATACACCAGTGAGAGTACATGGTGTATACCTGCATGTATACACCATGTGCATGTCTGGTACCTGAACAAACTAGAAGAGGGCATCAGATCTCCTGATACTGGAGTTACAGACTGTTGTGAGCTGTCATGTGGGTGCTGGGAACTGCACTCAGGTCCTCTGAAAGAGCAAATGCTCTTAAAGGCTATGTCATCTCTCCAGTGCAGAATCTTTTTCTTATATTCCATTTTAGATAAAGTATTTATCCTTCCTTTTTCCTCTGTATTGCCTGAGATAGAATAGAAATGTTGGGCTAAACTGATCATTTTAAACCATACCATTATTCATGGTCATAAATATGATTTTTTTGATCATATTTTAAAACAGAATATGTTACTGTTATGTCTACAGAATATATCTAATGGGTGTTTACTTACAGAGCTTTGGCCAATCCTGTAGTATTTTTTTTGTCAGCTGGTTCTGGATAGGGGAGAGAGAGACAGAGATAGAGACAGAGAAGAGAGAGATGAGGAAAGGGAGTAGGGATTGAGGAACAGAACAATTTGCTAATGATCAAAGGGATGCTATGTTTATGGGGACTTAGTAATAATATCATATATTTTATGACACTTAACAGTACCTATCTCTCACTACACTTAATGATTATTGAAACCCTGTCTAACTGTCTGCCTATGCTAGAGCAAGATTGGTGGGGGCAGAGGAGTCAGTGATATGGTTCAGTGGGTAAAGGTGCTTGCTGCCAAACCTGGAGTTTGATCCCCAGAATCTACATGGTAGATGTACCTGAAAGTTGTCCCCTGACCTCCACTTTTATACTGTTCATGCACAAATGTGTGCAGGTACAGACACAAAGTAAACAAAAAGATGTCAAATTTTTGAGAAAAGATTTCTTTTGTGTGTGATTTTAATATGCAGTAGGTAGGTATAGAACAAGAGGTCGTAGTAATTAGCATGTAGCATGTACTCTCACTGGTGTATGACAAAAGACTGCTTTGGAGTTATGCAGTATGACATAGCACTGGGGTAAGAGTTAGAAAGACTAGATTCTGTTTTCAATTCTATGACTTGCTTGTTTGAACTTTGAGCTCCAATTTTTATATCTGTACCCAAAATTATTTGGATGGTTAGATATTTGATTAAATGTCTAGTAAATGTACAAGTGAAAAAGAAAATACTTTCACAGCCTACTTTCATTAGTTACTACAAGAACATTTCAGAAACTGTGTTTCCAATAGCAACTCTTTCTCTGTATGTGTTATGTGTTTCCTTGGTTTTTATCTTTTTAAAAAGCTGCTGGACAAGGCCACATAGAGTGTTTGCAGTGGTTAATTAAAATGGGAGCCAACAGTGATATTACCAACAAAGCAGGAGAGAGACCCAGCGATGTGGCTAAGAGGTATAAACTCCTATCTACTGTGTTCCTTGCTTCTACTTTTAAAGTTGTTCATTTACTTTCTGTACTTAAAAATTTCTGATAATTTAATACAGGTTTGGGAGACTCAAGATGCTGGTGGGATCACAGTTTTTCAGTTGAGCGGTGTTTATTTCTTATTAGCTCTCCTCGTTAATGCAATTATTTTCAGCTGGACAATCGTATTAGTTCTCTTTCCTCTGGGGAAGGGATGTTTAGAAATGATAACAAAGGTCATGACAATGACCATTTACCACATAAGGAGGTCAGGTCCAGGAATCCTAAACATTCTGCATCGATCTAGTTAGTGTGCACAATGCATTCTTCCATCCAAATATCCTTGATACCTTGTTGAGAAACACTGGTAAAAAGCAATAATAACAGTGATAATAGAGAAACATTATAAGGAGTTTAAATCATATTTAGAAATTTACATGGAAAATAAATGTAGTCCCTATCATGAAATTCTGTGAGCCCATTCAGATAAGACCCTCAGGGAATAGTTAGTGCATATCTGTGTTCTCATTTGGTTGTTGTTTATTCAGCTTCCTGTACAGTTACTATGGTCCAGGCACTGTGGCCAGAAGTCAGACTGTAAATATGGGAATACACAGTGCCTGCCGTCCAGTGGCTTATAGTCATGGAAACCCTAGAAGCTTATACTTCAAAGAAAAAAATGCTATACATATCATTGGGCTCATATAGTATACAATTTTTTCATATTGAATTCTTTTTTTCCAACTTATTTTATTTGAATTAGAAACAGGATTGTTTTACATGACAATCCCCCTGGATGGTGAGGCCTTCCATAGGGTGTCATCATTGTCTATTGTATCCTTTGGGATAAGGCCTAGACCCACCCTGTGTGTCTTCCCTATATGAAATGGGCTCCCAAAGTTCATGTATATGCTAAGGATAAGTACTGGACTTCTACAGGAGGTCCCATAGATTTCTGAGGTTTCCTCACAGAAACCCATATTCCTGGGTCTGGATCAGTCCCATGCTGGTATCCCAGCTATCAGACTGGGGAGGAAGAGTTCCCTGATGTTCAGGTCAGCTGTTTCTGTGTGTTTCACCAGCCTGGTCTGGACCTCTGTGCTCTTCATGGTCCTTCTCTGCATCTGGGTTCCAGTTCAGTTTGGTGATTAGTTATGGGTGTCTGCTTCTACTTCCACCAGCTGCTAAGGCATATAAGTCAGTCATCAATCTCATAATCAGGGGAGGGTATTTAAGGTAGCCTCTCCTCCGTTGCTGAGATAGTTAGCTGGTGTCATTTTTATAGATCTCCAGACATTTCCCTAGTGCCTGATTTCTCTGTAAACCAAAAATGTCTCCCTCTATTATGATATCTCCATTCTTGTTATCTTCTATTCATCCCCTGAGTCATACTTTCTGCTCCCTCATGTCCTCAGCAACCCTCCTCTTCTCCCTTTCTCATTCTCCTAGCTCCCTCCCCCCTCTTCCCGTGCTCCCAATTTGCTCAGCAGATCTTTAACCTCTCCTCTTCTCCAGGGGACCATGTATGTCTCTCTTAGGGACCTCCTTGTTTATTAGCTTCTTTGGCAGTGTGGATTGTAGGCTGGTAATCCTTACTCTATGTCTAAAATCTGCATATGAGTGAGTACATACCATGTTTGTCTTCTTGCGATTGGGTTATCTCGCTCAGAATGGTTTCTTCTAGATCCATCCATTTTCCTGCAAATTTCAAGATTCCATTGTTTTTTCCGCTGAGTAGTACTCCATTGTGTAAATGTACCACATTTTCTCTATCCATTCTTCAGTTGAGGGGCATCTAGGCTGCTTCCAGTTTCTGGCTATTACAAATAGTGCTGCTATGAACATCGTTGAACATATGTCCTTGTAGTATGAATGTGCTTCTTTTGGGTTTATGCCTAAGAGTGGAATTGCTGGATCTTGTGGTAGACTGATTCCCATTTTTTTTGAGGAGTCACCATACTGATTTCCAAAGTGACTGTACAAGTTGGCACTTCCACCAGCAGTGGAGAAGTGTTCCCCTTTCTCCACATCCTCTCCACCATGAACTGTCATTGGTGTTTTTGATTTTGGCCATTATGACAGGAGTAAGATGGTATCTCAGAGTTGTTTTGATTTGCATTTCCGTGATGGCTAAGGATGTTGAACATTTTCTGATGTGTCAACAAATATTCTACAGCACAAATGAGTGTAACAAATCTTTAACATTCTACAACACCTGTCTCTAAACAAAAAAGAGAAAAACAAAACAAACCCAAGTGGCAATCCTTAGTTCCTTCTTGTGAGAAGATGGGATATAGTTGGTGTTTTTTCCCCCCAAGTTGTTTCTTTTGACATGTACTAGAGTTGGTGTGGTGGGCAGCAAGTTGTTTTTCTTTCTATCCCAAACAGGTTGAACCTGAAATAAATATATGAAGGCTGAGCCCTTCTGAGTTTTACTGAACAAGGCAAGAGCTAAAACAGTGACCACTACTGGCTCAATTCATGCCTGTGATCTCTGTATGCTAACCTAGCACTTCAGCAAGTACAGGAGCAGCGTCCCCATGTACAGGAGCAGTGCACCACCAGTGCATGCTTGGGCATGGGAAATACAAAAGCTATGGCAGTGTTGCCACCTTTTGTCTCTGGGGGCTCTGAGAGTGGAGAGGGTGATCCCATTCAATCTGCATTGAGGGCATGATACATAGGCATTGAGTAATCCTGTCTATTCTGATACTGCTAGTCTATGTTCCAGCCCCTGCTTACAGCCACCAACTGCTAATTTCACTCCACTTTTCAGAGGTCAGCCCACCATTTCCAAATGGAAGTACCCTGTTTTCTCCGAGTGCATTTCTCAGCCTCGGAGATCTATGGCAATAAATGTGTGTCTGAGTCACAGCCAATTTCTCAGGCCCACATTGTCTCCTGCAATAAGCACTTGCAGAGCTAGTAAAGAGAGGCTGTTAGCTCAAGGTATGAAGGTGCAGGGCCTCTAGTTCTTCAAGCCTTAGGTTTGTTTTTGTGTTTGTTTTGTTTTGTTTCTCTGATAGGATTTTTCTGTGTAGCTGTTGCTGTCCTGGAACTTGCTTTGTAGACCAGGCTGGCCTTGAACTCAGAGATCCACCTGCCTCTGTCTCCTGAGTGCTGGGATCAAAGGCATGTGCCACCACAGCTTGGCTCAAGCCTTAGGTTTGCTGGTGGCATCTCTTTTAAGATGGTTGCTCAGAGCTCACTGAGCAAACTAGCAAGTTCAGGGACCCTCTCCTGTGACTGCCTGTACTATATGGATCCAGACCTGCTGTCTTAAACTAGTTTTGCACAGTGCCCGACTGTGCACCTGTAGAGCATGCCCAGGTTTTCTTCTCTACTTTTCTTAAAGCCCTGAGGGGAATTTTCTTCCTTGTCCCCACTGTGCTGCCTAGCAGTCAGTGCTATAGTTTTTTGCTTCTTTCATATTTTAAGGTATGTATTTTTGGATTTGACCTGATCACTAACTGATGCACACACCTGCACCCATACATCCAGCGTTCTTTTTCAATCTTGTAAAGATACAGGAATATCCTGCTGTCTCAATCTACCATAGTTCCCTTGCTCTCTTCCTTTGTCAGCCACACCACTCTCTATGTAGTTTTATTACTTGAGTACTTGTACATGCTAGGCAAGTGCTGTGCCACTTAGCTGCAAAGCTAGCCATAGTGATAGATCTTTAATAATTTACTTACTGTACCTGATAAAAATAAGAATTTAATGTATATAAGTTTATAGTTTTAAAAATATGAATATATGAGTTTTTGTTTTTTTACATTTCTGTAACCAAAATACTTAACCAGCAACTTGAGAGGAGAGAAGCTTATTATTTGGGCTAATGGTTTCAGAGAAGGTCAGCTCATTAGAGGAAGGCTTGGCAGCTGAGTGAGGCACGGTAGTGAGAGTATGTGGTGGTGGTTGTTTACACGCTGGGAAGCTGGAAGTAGACATTTCTGGCTCCCTAAGGGTGGATATAATCTCCAAAGCCTGAGCCTTAGCAGCCTATTTCTGTCAGCTAGGCCTTCCATATAGCGCCACAAGCTGCGGACCTGAGCTGGTGATCAAAACATAAGTGTATGGGAATATAGTACATTCAAAGTATAACAGTGTGGAAAATAGAGTTTAGTGTTTGGTGATTCTCCATATCCTAGAAGAAAGTATTACATATTTCAGTTAACAACACTGTGGGAAAGTATGCTTGTTTCATTTATTCACAACAGAAAAATTTCTAAGATCAAGACTTTATTAGTGTGAAAATTTCTAAGATGAAGAATTTATTAGTATGGGCTTCATGAAATGTGAGAAAGAGCAAAGAGAATAGAAAACAGAAGGAAAGGCCATTGCTGTTCCTTTAAATTTCAAAACTGAGCTAGGTGCTTTGGGTTGAAGGATGAAGAGTAAGTATGGTAAGAACTATAGTTAACTCTAAGACTAGAACCACAATTAATTCTGTCACCCATCTTGGGCTAACAAAAGACAGTAAAATAGGGAATCAAGTTTCTGGGCTCTGTATTCAATGAAGTAATTCTGTTTGGAGGCACAGTAAAGTGGGATATCTTCTCCTAGTGTATTTTTAGCAGCAACACTTTGGGATCACTTCTCAGGACATGGATTTTACAGTATTTAGTTAGTAACTGAGCTGAATGCACATCAGATTCACTGACCTTCAGCTACAGGTTTGCGTCTTTGCCTGGTGGTGGGTTGGCAGAAGTGCATATATGGTGAAATTGCCTAAGTTAAGTATGAACCACAGTTTACATGTATGGAAGTTTATGGATCTGGTTAATTATTAATTCCTTTCTACAGATTTGCCCATTTGGCAGCAGTGAAACTGTTAGAGGGGCTACAGAAATATGAGATAGATGATGAGATTGGAATTGATGACAGTCATATAAAGTTTTTTATACAGCATGGTGTTGAGGGAAGCACCGATGCCAAGGATGACTTATGTCTGAGTGATGCAGACAAAGCAAATGCCAGAAGTAAGTATGCCGTCTCTATCTTGAATTAGCCATTCAGAAGAAATACTATTGCCATGGGGATGGGGAGATGGCTCAGCGGGTAAAAGCATTTACTGTGCACTTGTGAGGACCTGAGTTTAATCCCTAGAACTCATGTAAAGCTGGCATAGTGGCATGCTTCTGTAATTGCAGTGGTGCTGACATTTGATGGGAGGCTAAGACAGGAGAAACCCTCAAAGCTTGAGGGCCAGGTAGCCTGGAGTATGTGTTCATGAACAACAAAGAGACTCTGTCTCAAGTAAGGTGGAAAGCAAGGACCAACATCAGAGGTTGTCCTTTGAACTCCAAACATGTGTCGTAGCATGTGATTGCCTGAGTGCACATAAAAGAGCATGTACACATATGAATGTGTGTGCACAGACAACAAATATGACTACCAAAAAAAAAAAAGAAAGAAAGAAAGAAAAGAAATACACTTGGGCAGGTGAGATGGTTAAGAGCTCTTGTTGCTCTATCAGAGGTTGATTCCCAACACCCACTCCAGCTCAAGGGACACCTCTCCCACCAGATACATAAATAAAAAATTAACAATAAGATCTACTTTTTACTGTAAGTTTGGAAATTATTCAAATGACACTGTCTATAAAGAAAAGTAGTTTGGTATTTTGAACCAGCACCAATTTTCGTATTTTTTTTTTGTTCTAAGAGTTATTGAAAATATAAACAAGTATACAATATGGTCTTTGGATGGAAGAATGTAACATGGAAACTAAAGAAGTTAAGTAAGACAAACATACTTAGTGGATCATAAACATGGAAAAACACAACTCAAGAGCGATAATCTTAGTACTTGGGAGGCTGGGTAAGAGGATGACAAGTGTGAGGCTAGTCCAGCCTACATAGTGAACTTAAAGCAAGCATGGATTACGTAGAAAGACTTTAACTTCCTCCTGCCCCAACACACACACAAACATCTCAATGATTTCCAAGGTTTGTTTATAATGATATTTTTGTAAGGATTCATTAATTTATGCATATAGGAGTTTTGCTTGTATGTATGTCTGTGCACCATGCCTGGTGATCACAAAGTCCAGAAGAGGGCATCAGATCCTCCAGAGCTGCAGTTACAGATGGCTATTAGACACCATGTGATACTGGGAATCAAACCTGGCAAACCTTTCTGCAAGAGAAAGAACACTCTTTTTTTTTAAAAGATTTATTTTTATTTTATGTGCATTGGTGTGTTGTCTGCATATATGTCTGTGTGGGAATGCCAGGTTCCCTGGAGCAGGAGTTAGAGACAGTAGTGAGCTGCCATGTGGTTGTTGGGAATTAAACTTTGGTCCTCTGGAAGAGCAGCCAGTGCGCTTAACCGCTGAGCCATCTCTCCAGCCCCAGTAACTGTTTTATTTTTGAGATTATAATATAATCACACCATTTCTCCCTTCCCTTTCCTCCCTCTAAACCCTCTCATTGTCCCTTCCCACACTCTTTCAAATTCATGGCAGATCCTTTTTTCTCAGTCCAGTAATTTTTAAAGAGAATGATTGCAACAAGTTTTACTAATAGTCTGTCGTGCCACTACAGTTGTTATTAGAGAAAATGGATCAATTCAAAGGAACTTCTATTTGGTGATAATGATAGATAGGAAAATAGGAGTATAAAGAAAATGAAGTGATGGAATAGGTAACTGTTAGGACTCTGTGGTGACATTCCAGAAAAGACCTGAATGATGAGAATGAACTGTATGGAGGTCTTGGGAGAGCATCCTAAAGAGAGCATGTGCAAAGGCTGAGAGGATTCACCAAGGAGATGTTATCAGAGTTGGTTGGAGAGGTGGGTGGGGGCCCAGTAGGAATCATAAAGGGCTTGATAAGAATTTAGTTTTAGGTTTTCTTCTATGCTATTGGAGGAGGTTAGGGCAGAGATGATATCATTTGAGTTATGGTTAAAGACTCTTATTCTAACTACTAGGGATGTAACAGACTGGAGGGCAAGAACAGCATACCAATTCAGGTGGGTTGTTAATTAGGATAGGAGCGAACATACTCATTTGTCAATATGGATAGTTTCTAATTTAAAAATTTGTCAAGGACGCTCAATTAGAATTCTGCCAGATATAGTATTATCTGTATAGTTTCCTGGGCCCTGTAGTCTCTAATGGAGGCCTATGACTATCAGAGTCACATTCTTGTTTTGCTTCAGCCTCTTTGTAATAGAGATTTTTATCCCAGCAGAGCTTGCATTAGTATTATGCATTTGCCTTTAAGATATTACACACACACACACACACACACACACACACACACACACACACACACACACACACAGTATCTAGAGGTTGGGGTTGGTTGTAGAACAAGCAAGGCAGGATCTGATTGGTTCTACTTGTTTGTATATCTGGATTTCCAGAAGGGAAAAGCCATTTCTTTTCACAGGGTAAGAATGGAAGTGGGAAGGTCAGTTAGGAGGATGTAGCCTTAATTTGGAAGAGAGTTGGTGATAGCTTGGATTGGAATGGAGATGGTGAGATTTGGATGTGTTTTTAAAAGGGGACATGGGCTGATTGATCAGGGTGTGAGGTGTTTGAAGATGAAGGCAGGGAAGGATGACTCTTAGGTGCTTCCCTTTTCTAGGTGAATGGTAATGAGTTTTAAATGAGTATTCACTAAGGAGAGAATAGAAAGCAAAACTTTATAAAAGTGGGATTGCGCTTTGCCTTGAATGGCTAGGATTTAGATAGGTAAGGCATGCCATTTAACCAACACTTGTGTGGATTTGTAGTGTGTTCATAGCCTTGGCTAAGGACTGTGGTAGTATACTGGATATAGTTCCTGTTTTAATTTTTAAAAATGCCTCAAAGAGAAGTCACACCATACAACAGGACTCACATAGGAGATTTATTGGAAGAGGAGAGAGAAGGGCAGAAAAAGGGGCAGAGAGGGGAGCAGAAACCAGTTCTTGAGGACAAGAGTGGTGGGAGAGAGGAAGAGAGGAAGGGAGAGAGAAAGAGAGAAAGATGGGAGGTTGGTAGGGCCCTTTTCAAAGGGAATGTAGTGAATATGCACAGGTGGTGCCCTTAGTGGCTGCAGCTGAGGGTGTATCCTGTCAGAACCCCAAGGACAGGCCAGTACAGATGCCTGAAAATTAACAGTTCCTTTTTGGAATTTAGAAAATATTCTGAACTCAACATAGCACTGCAAGAATTTCTGAAACTGTTATTTCTTTTTTATCATCCAACTTTTGTTTCCTGAATATTGTTTATGTGTCAGGCATATGTAAGCACTAGACTTACACTGGTAAACATATACATCATTTCTACATGCTTTGGAACAGATTTTTTTTATAACCATGGGAGTGTTTGTCATTTTCTTTCAAAAATACTTTTTTTTTATATTTTAAATTGCATGTGCACGCGTGCGCTCGTGCACACATGCACATGCCCACACCCACACACACACACACACACACACACACACACACACACACACACACACACACACACACGAGTACAGGTGCCCTAGGAAGCCTTTGGAGGTGCAGGTTGTGAGCCATTAAATGTAGGTTCTGGAATCTGAACTTGATCTCTGGAGGACAGCAAGTTCTCCTAACAGGTGAGAGAATGTATTAATTACTTTTCTGTTGCTAAATATCATGACTTAGAGAAGGAATGGTTCATTTAGGCCTACAATTCTATCTTGGCAGGGGGTTGTAGTTACAGTAGCCAGCTGCAAGCTACAGGCATGGAAGCAGGATCAGGAAGCTGAGAGCTCATGTCATTAAACACAAGCTTCAAGGAGAGAGAGCAAACTCAACATGATGGGAAGCTTTTAGCTCTCAAGGCCCAACCCCAGTGACTTCCTCCAGCAAGGTTACACCACTAAATTTCTTCAATGAACTAGGGACTTTGTGTTCAAATACCAGTGCCTACTAGGGACATTGTCATTCAAATCATGACAACCTGTTAATTGCTTTATGTTTAAAGACTATCATTCTAACTATTTTGGATACAATATACTGGAGGATGAGAAAGAGTATAACATTTCTATCCCTCAATTATTTTCATGATGACCACTTGGAGGACAATCTGATTCCATTTAATGATGTCTTAATGTGCTCAGGCTGTTGTAATTAAACACTAGAGAGACTGGGAAAGTTAAACCACATAAATTTATCTGTTATAATTAGGGGCTGAAGTCCTAGATCAAAGTCTAACACGATGTTTTTATTGAGAAGGGTCTGCTTTTGACTTTGATATAACCATGTACTCAAAATGAAAGAATGAGGAGCGTTTGGGGAAGAACATGGATGCAAATGTTAAGTCATCTAAAGTGTTTTCCTCTAATGATATTAATCTTGTGAGAACAGTACCCTTATTGTCATGTCACTTAACACCAATCACCTTCTAAAACCCTATCTTCCACATAACATCACACAGGAATATAGAGGTTCAATGTGAGTTTTGAGAGAGATATATTCAGTCCATAACAAATGGATAACCACCAAAACATTCTGAATTAGTTTAAGTTAGGCTGCTCCTTCCACCCCCAGATTACATGTTGATACAAATAGATACCCAGAAGCCAATGGGACTGTGGTTTCTTTTCCTTTTTTTTCTTTTTCTTTCTTTCTTTTTCTGTTTTGTTTTTTGTTTTTTGTTTTGTTTTTCGAGACAGGGTTTCTCTGTGGCTTTGGAGGCTGTCCTAGAACTAGCTCTTGTAGACCAGGTTGGTCTCGAACTCACAGAGATACTCCTGCCTCTTCCTCCTGAGTGCTGGGATTAAAGGCGTGTGCCACCACCGCTCAGCGGGACTGTGGTTTCTATTGGTGCTAGGCTTTTTAAAAATTTTGAATTGAACTGGTTTGGTAATCAGAGAAAACTTTGTTTCTGTGGCATTTGTTCTGATTTTCAGCTACTGTTATATAACTCTCCTACCAGAAATTTTAGTCTGTAGAACTGTACAGTTTACAAAACATTTCCATTGATCACAGTAAGTGTATAGGAAAGATTATATCTGTGTTCTCTCTTAAGAAACACTATTAGAGTATCATATTGACTTATAAAGTGCACTAGGTTTAGAGACACTAAGTTACTTGCCCAAAGCCACCCAGTAAGTGGACATAAGGCCTTTTCAGACTTCTTTATATAATGCCCTTGTCACCACACCCATTGCATCCTGAAAGGAGTATTTTCATGCCATGTAACTTTGACGTTTCTTCTGTGTTTGGTTAGGGAGCCATGGTTTGTAGTGAATGAGAAGGATGTTTTCAGTGGCTCTCTGAGTGGTGAGGAAAGTCAGAAGAATGTGTTTGAGTTGAGCTAATATGAGAACAAGCAGCTATGTAGTGAGTGAACAGTCGGTCTTAGCAATGGATTCAGACATCAGAGCTTTGCCACTTTTTAGCTCTGTTGTTCTCAGAACTTTACTTTCCTCATCTATGAAAAACAGCAATGTTGGTATTTCTACCCTGACAGAATTGTTATAAGGCTTAATTTCAAACACCAAAGAATAGGAACTGCCTAGCTTGTGGCAGAGGCTCAGAAAATATCAGTTCCCCTTCCTTTTGATCTTTGGAGGGTGCTTTTAGTTATTCTGGTTGGAATATATAGTCGTGTTGAAACTATATTTTCTAAGAAAAAAATTGAAATTCATGTCTAGATTTTTTTCCTTTAAAAAGATTTAAAAGCACCCCGTACAGTCTTAGGCTTATTTTCCAGGGACCAGGGAGATCCTTTTATTGTGAATGCAACCAAGGGAGAACCTGAAGATGCTGGCATGGTTTTTCTCTAATTTTCTAACATGTAATAGATAATGCATGCTCTCATTTTATAACACTGCTAAGCTTCTTTAAGCCATCTTGCCTATAACATCAGCATCATAATTATCTGATTCATTTTCCAATAACTGATAAAGTATCCTCCAACTGGGCATTTTATTGCTTACATCACTTATATTTACTCTTCTACATTTTATCATACTCTCATCACTTCCTTCAATAAACAGCAGACAATGGTTTTGTTGAAGAAGCAAATGGGGCTGAAGAGATGGCTCAGTGGTTAAGAGCACTTTTCGCTCTTGAAGAGTTCCTGGGTTTGGTTCCTAGCACCCACATGGTGGCTCTCAACCATCTGTATTCCAGTTCTAGGGGGTCCAGTGCCCTTTTCTGATCTCCACATGTACCAGGCCTGAATGTGGTCCACAGTCATACATGTAGGCAAAGCACTCATACACATAAAGTAAAATTATTATTTTTAAAAGGCTGTTGCAAAGAAAAAGAAGCAAATGCTGAGAGGGAATCACCATCCTGTAAGTGTATGTGCTGTCATCTAAATTCATTCTTAATCAACTGTCTTTCAGTGAGAGCCCACAAGAAAATTGTGGAATTGAAACAATTTCTGGAAATCGCTGAGAGCAATTTCAAATACTTGGGTGGGATAATAGAAGAGGATCTACAGCAGAAGAAAGAACTGCTCGAATCTGAGAAGTAATGTCCTTACCAATGCTTTGTATTTCAGTAACTATGAATTCCACATGAGGCTTTCTTCCTGGAAATGTGTTCTTTCAATCTGCCAGCTAGTTAAGTCCCAATCTTATTCCCTCCCAAGTCCTTCAAGATGTTTTTAAAGTTGTGGAATAATAGATGTAACAAAATTTACCTCATCATCACTTTAAGTGTATAGTTTGATAGTGTTAAATATACTCATGCCATGTGATTCCAGTCTTCCAAACTGTTTTCATCTTGCAAAATTGACACTATTTATTGAGGTTTTGAGACCACAGTGATTTTAAATCGTTCAGCTAGCACAGGTGACATGATCTGTAAACATTCACATTAGCCTGAAAGAATTATGAAGTCCATTTCTTTGTTCACTAAATTATAGGCCCAGCATGCTTACCACTGTGCTATCCTCACCATTCAGTGATAGAGACAAAAACTCTGGTTCAAGTCACAGCATCTTTCATTCCAGTTCACTGACCCCTGCCTTTACGTATATTTCTTACCCTGTAGTTCTTAACACAGCATCCAGAAAAATCAAACAAACGCTTAAGCGAAATCATGTTGTTACAATATCAAGCCCTCTCTACTGGCTTCCTGTTTTACTTTGAGAAGCCAGTCTTTCCTATGACTGATGAGGCAGTGTTTGTTCTGGCTCTCCTTTACTGCTAATCTACACTATTGGCTTGTTTAAACTATTCCAATTGTGCTGGCCTTTAGCTTTCTTGAACTTGCTTTGGCATAATCCTTTCTTAGGGCTTGTTCTGCACTTTCTGGAATGATCTTAACCACATTCTAAATACTTCTCTCATTCTTTTCAGGACTTGGCTCAAATCTTTTTTCAGCAAAGTCTCCCTAACCATGTATATGAAGTTGTCCTAGCATGCTTTCTGTTGCTGTGACAAAACACTCCCCAAACCCAGTTTGAGGAGGAAAGGGGTTATTTGTAGTTCCCTCATTCCAGATGAGCTCTTGTCATATTGACAAAACTCACCAGCACAATTGACCCTGGTCAGTTTGACACAAATACGGAATTATTAAACCAACCTTTCTTGTTTACCCCAAAGATCTCATGTTAATATCACAACATAAAATATAGTATAACTTTTAAAATTCCTTAAGTCTTTTAAAAATTAAAATACTTTAAGAGTTAAAAGGTTCTTCTTCTTCCTTCTCCTTCCTCCTCCCTCTTCCTTCTTCCTCATTCCTCTTTCCTCCTCCTTTTTTCCTTCTTCCTCCTTTCTTTCTTTCTTTCTTCTTCTTCTTCTTCTTCTTCTTCTTCTTCTTCTTCTTCTTCTTCTTCTTTTCTTTCTTTATTCTTTCTTCTTTCTTCCTTCTTCCTTCTTCTTTCTTCTTCCCTCCTCCTCCTCCTCCTCCTCCTCCTCTCTTCTCAATCTCCTTCTTTTTCTTCTTGGCATGGGGCACACAATGCTTGGGAGGCGAAGCTCTGTGAGTTTGAGGTCAGCCTAGTCTACATAGTGAGTTCCATGACACCCAGGACTAAATAGAGTGATCCTGATTTAAAAACACATTTTTTTTTTTTAAATGAAGACAGGATCTTACTATGTAGCTTTTGTGATCCGGAATTCACTATATAGTCCAATCTGGCCTCAAGCCTGCCTCTACTTTCTGTGTTCTAAGATAAAGGCATGTGCCACAAGCCTGGAACCAGGGAGATTAAGTGTTACCAAGTTCAACTTCTAGCTTAAGATGCCCCCTTGATCCCCTACAGGACCACAGCTTCCACGTCCTGACACTGAGGAAATACTTGCCAGAGAATTTCATCTCAATAATTCCAATCTCTTATTGCTCACAGCTGATTCCTCACCCTCAGCTGACCAGTATTAACTAGCCCAGCAGAGCAAATCACTCCAGTGGTGGTGGTCTCTTGTTGACCACAGTTGATCGACCCTTCAGCCCTAGCTGACCAGCATCTGCTGTTGCAGTGAAGCACAGGCTTTGCTTCCACAGATCCTTTTTGTTGTTGTTGTTGTTGTTGTTGTT